TTTTTGGCCCAAAACACCTTTAATAATCCCCTTCAATTTCTTAAAGGGGATTATTCGAGGTATTTTCTATGAAAAATATCTCTAACAATTTAAGATTTTTTTATTAGGATTATTCAAGGCATTTTTGCCCAGAAAATGCCTTGAATATTTCTTTACAAAAGATTGAAGGCCTTTTTTTTTGGTAAAATGCATTTACTGATCATTTTTAAAATTCATTCCCCTATCTTGAACTTTGGAATCCCAATTTGTTATTACAGAGAACAATTAAAAGCTGCATTGCAACCAAACCAAAACCCCTAAACCTATTTAGTTTACCTTTTGGTTTCTTCATCTCTCTTATCCCTATCGACCTTCAACAATTGAACATTGTCGTACCTACATCTATAAATCATTGTGTTTGATTTCTCTATCCCTATCTCTTTATAATTTATTATTGTTTATATTTGATTTTAGATTCATTAATTATTATTGTTTACATTATATTTTCATCAAAAGTGCTTATTGTCTTAATTTCCATTCAACTATATTGAAATCATTATTTGGGAAAATTTTGGAGAGATCTAATTCACCCTTAAGTAAAGGATCGATCGGGTAAGGCCATTTATGCACGATCTCTAGGTGTTCTAAAGCTGACCCAATCGATCCCCTAAGGGAGAAGATCGATCCCTTGAGACCCAAAACACTTCAACGGCTACTTTTGCATGATTCCAACAGGCATTTCTTCACTCCACGCTTCTCCAACGGCTAGTTCCTCAATTTCTCTATAAATTGGGCACTCCAATGCCTTAAGAGGATTAATGCATAAAGAGAGCAAGAGCCAATAAGCCACATTTTATTCTCTCAAAGAATAAAGAGTTTTTAGAGCTTCAAAGTCTATATCTTTGTATTTATTATATCCAAATTTTATTTGTTGTTCATTCATCATTTACTTATACTTAAACTTAGCAAACACTTAGCCTTAGAGAGGTTGTTCTATTGTTTGTAAAATTATCTTTGATATACAAAAGTGGAAGAGAATAAGAGGTAAGGTATCTTCTTAAGAGCTTTGTAGTGAGATTGGATAAAATACTACAAGGGGTAGAGGTTTTTATCTTAAGCCTTAGAAAGAAAAAGATAAGTTGTATTTTCAATTCAAGAATAGTAGATTAAAGCCTTGGTGTGGACAACCAAGAAGAGAGGACATAGGTGCCTTGTGAAGAAGGACCGAACCTCTATAAATCATTGTATTTGATTTCTCTATCCCTATCTCTTTATAATTTATTATTGTTTATATTTGATTTTAGATTCATTAATTGTTATTGTTTTCATTATATTTTCATCAAAAGTGCTTATTGTCTTAATTTCCATTCAACTATATTGAAATCATTTGTTTAGGAAGAATTTGGAGAAATCCAATTCACCCCCCTCTTGGATCACCATCTAACCTATAAAGCTAACAAGGTAAATATGGTTTTTAGGATAAATTTAACAATGTTTTCTAGGGACTAAAAAGATATAAAAAGCTTATATTGTTCATGTTTAATGCATCATTCATCCATTTTTGTCAAAAATATTTATTTGATAAACTAAACAATAAAATAACATTTAGATAGAAATGAAAGGCCAAACAACATTATATCGGTTTAAAAAATTATTTTTAACTTCAAATTTAACAATCAACATACAAGTTTCATAGAAGTATAATAAAACAAAACATAAGAACTTGAAAGGAAGAAAAGAAAAGAAAGACATACTACAAGCAAAATCTCCAACAATTGAATGAGCTCCAAACTAATATTCAAGCAAAATTGAATAAATCAGTATTTCAATTAAGAAAAACATTTCTTTGGATGCTACTTATTATATAACTTTGCCAACACTTTTTATTTTGGTTGGAACTATGGAATAAAAAATATTAAATTAAAACTTGAAAAGTTTACCTCTAAATAGTAGGCCATTTATGAGTAAAATCATGCTTTAAGTTTGACTTGCAAGTTAAAATCACCTTGTTGTCCTTTAAACCATTGATAACACCTAATTATAGTGTTTTTACATGTAAGAAATTGTGTTAAATTTTAAATTTTGAATGATTTTTGGCTTTTTTTTATGTTATTTTCATAATTTCTAGGTTTTAAGCCATGGATATCATTTTGATGCAATCCATGCATGCAAGCATGTAAGGAGCAATTTTGGCCCAATCTTGGAAGCTCATAGCCAAACCAACTTGATCCACATTCATTCACCCATTGAGTTTCACTTGCACAAGGACTCTTTCATGATGCGTTCAACCACTTTTATTCAAAAAAGGATTACATACAAATCCAAGCTCACTTAGACTCCATCATGTTTGGCTAAAGAGAAGTTTGATCCAAGCATAACTCTTTTGCTTAGATATGAAGAAATTGTGTTTGCATAAGGATTCTACCCATTCAGCCATGCGAAGGGGAAGCTTAATTTGTAAGATCATGGACTCTTAAAGAATTATCTTATTCGGCCAAGACTCCATCCAAGAAAGCCTTCATACAATTTTCACCATAATAAAAAGGCTAGATACATTTAACAAAAAAGACATTGAAGTCCATCATGACACTTGAATTAGCTTTGAAGAATTTTACTTGAAAGAAAACTTTATCTCTCCAAGAGTAGGATGAAATTTAAAATCTTGTTCTTAAAATCCATCCCACCTAAATGTAAAGAAGGGATATTGATCAAGATTGCTTCAAGACATGATGAATAGCCAAGATTGCATCTTCAAAGTCCTATTCAGCCAAGTATACTCAAGGAAGAAAAGTCTCATTTAGTCATGCCTCTTTGAAAGATAAAGATCAAGTTTATGACTAATATTTGAATTTAAACCAAAGTCTTATAATCCCCACCCTAATGGTCAAACCCTCCAATATAAATAGGGAAGCTATTCACCCTTTTCCATCATTCAATTCCTCATTTCTCTTCTCTCTTTTAGTTTAAGTTCTTTTATTTCTTTAGTTGAGTTATTGGCTTTGATGATAGATTTGCCAATAACAAAGCTTTTGTTCTTTACAATTCCCTTTCTCAATCAAAGAAGTATTTTTTCCAAAATCTCTTTTGCATTACTTTTAGATTTCAAATCTTGCTTTCTTTTCTCAATTTCGACAAAGCATTCTTTTCTTTTGCTAGTTCAAATCAAGCATTCTTTATTTCTTGACAAGTTCACCATTATCTTTTGAATGATCTACAAAGTTTACTTTTATGCAAAGTGATATTGGTTAAGTGAAATCTAAGCCTACACATTGTTTTTAATTTTTTTTTTATTTCTGCAAACAACCTTAAATTTTCAATTGTTTAAATATAAAATATTAGGCTTTCACCATTGGTACTTGAAAGAGCAGCCTAACATTTCAATCTATAATTTTAAGGAGACGATACTGAAATACTTTTATTTATTACTTACTCTATGCATTTGTAGGCTATCCTAAAAGTAGCAATCAACCATATCAAATCCAAACTTAAAAAAAGCATCCATTTTCTTAAATCTTCTAACTCAAATGAGCAACTTTTAATAGTAAAATACAACTCATATTTTAGAGTAAAAAGTCAAAATCAAATATTGAAATTGAATTACTGGTTGAGCTAGATCATGTGCAATTATATATGAAACTTAAAGTTACATTGAAGTTATATTTGACTATCGTTAAAACACATTTTATGGTGTTTAGCATTAACTTAGAAAATGAGGATGTAACATGAAAAATAACTATAAATACCTTAACATAAAAAAAATCAGATAACAAACTCTCTATTTTTTTTTTGATGTTATTGATTTATTTTTTGCAAAAAAGATATTGAAGAATATGTTGATTTACATCTAGATTTGTTTTTTTTCTTTTTTAATTCATGTTTTTAGATTTTTTTTTTATGATCCACTTGATACCAAATGTATTTTGTAAGTTTTCTTCTTTTGTTCGTTTTTCTCTTATTTGTTATTTCCCATTTTATATTTAATAAATATTTTGATGAATTTAATTGTTGGATCCCTTAATGCTATGTGTTTATCACATATCCAATCATTTGCTTCTTTTTTTTTAATATTTAATAAAAATTTAAAAATATTTTAAAATTTCTAAAAAAGGAAAGTCAATTTAATATTATCGATTTAATATATTTTTTATTTTATAATTTTAAAAAAAGATATTACGAAAATTTATTGTCACATCAAATTTGATTTTTGTTCCCTTTTTTTAATCTTTTTTTTAATCCTTGATATAACTTTATTTTTATTATTTCATTTCATTATATATATATGTATTACATTAATAAGATTATTATTTAATATTTTAATTTAATAAATCTATTTTTTAAATTTTAAATTTTTTCTTTTCTTATTTTAATTTAATTAATTTAATTAAAAAAAGATTGATTGAAATGTCTATATTCCAACTCCATTTAACTTTTTTCTTTCACTTTTTTCATTTTTTAATAAGATTAATTTACAAAAAATGGTGTTATTTGATAGAGATGTCAAAACAATTTTATATTTTACAAGTTTAATCCATCTTGATTTGATAAAGGGGCAAACTTTTTCTAGATTGAGGTCGAATTGAAACAGGTCTCTTATTTTAAAGAAATAAAGATTAAAGTGGAAGCATGTTTAGAATATTTTGTCCTGATCAATTTTAAAAATATATAAAATAATTATTTGATGCTTTAATTTTAAAAATTAATATTTTATTATATTATATTGATAAAATAATTATTTGATACTTTAATTTTAAAACTTAATATTTTATGACATCCTTTATGAGTTTTTTTTTCTATTTTTTTGTTTTTTATTTTGTTGTTTATTATCTTTTCACTTTTTTATTTTTTAAGTTAGATAACTTCCTTGAAAAAATAAGGCCAATCTAAATAATCACATCTTATTCTCTTTTCTTTTTTTTTTTTTTTTTTTTTCACCTTTTCTTTATTTTTTAGAATAGATAAATTTTATAATAAAAAATTTAATTAAAAAATAAAATAAAAAAAAATTTGACCTGCAATAAAAATAGATTTATCAATTTTGTAACTAAGTTAGCATGAGGTAGAAAGGCGTTTTATTTCGTGATTAGTGTCGAAAGCCCAAGTAGGAGTGGAATCTAAATCCAAATGTCCAATAGATGTGATAAATGTATTTTGAAGTGACATGTTGAAATATCAGCGGAGGGTTGTTACAGCAGTATAGGGAGGAAGCAGAAAGAAATGTTGGCGAAGGGTCATCCAATTCTGGCAAGTCCATTGGGATGGAAATGGCGTCGTGGCCATGATGGGTGTAAAAAGACGTCACTGGAAACAGCGGGTGCTTACAAATTGCAGGTGGTCAGCTTCATTCTTTGTTGTGGTGGAACTCACCTATTATCCCCATCTCATTCTGATTCTGATTGGAGCTTTTCTCCTAATCCTAATACACCAGGTTCCTTTCCACTTTCATTTCATCTGCTCTTCAATTCTTTTGTTATTTATTAATTACCTTTTTTTTGTTGTTGTTGAAATTCCTTGTTTACGCTCTCATTTACATTTACCCCATAAATAAAAATTCCTCAAAACCAGTTTGAAGCATTGGGGCTTCCTTTGTGTTTGATGATATTGGGGATAGGATAAATTAGGATAAGGTGATTGGCGCTTACATGATTATATATATATATATATATATATATATATAATTGGTCAAATTATCGTTTCTTTCATTGCTTTTATAAACATATGTAATTATAAATATAATTTTGAGAATATGATGTTTATCCTGAACGAAGGTTCACCCACCTTCTTTAGGAGATGAATTCACATAAAGTTAGGGTTCCATGCCCAACACTTGCAAAATCCCTCTTTTCCAATTTTCCTTAGGCTTTGGCCTCCTTTGTACCATTATATATATATATATATATATATATTGAGGGGTAAAATAGGATATGTGAAAATTATGCTATCTAACATGTCACTTTTTAAATAATCCCAACCTATTTTCCATAGGATTGAGCAATCGTCTACTTGGAGGATGGCTCATCCTATTTGCCATACTATTCTTTCCTTAAAATGTACAACCAAACATGGGACTTTTTTATCCTATCCTCTCCATCATACCACGCACCAAACAATCTCAAACTATCTTATCATCCAAAAAAAAAAAAAAGAAAAAAAGAATGAAATTCTGTATACCTCATTCTCCAACTAGTAACAAGTACCTTGGTATTGGATTTGAGGGGTATATCATGTATGACTCAGATTACATGTATGTCCAAAAGTCAGGTCTATTATTGATCGTTTAGAAATAAATTTCCCACGCTTTATAATTGAGCATACAGTTCAATCACATGTCACTGGAAATTTTTTATTCAAAATCGAAATTGAGCATTTCAAATAATTATTCTACAGCATTCTAGCTTATATCTTGTTGTTTGTTTACTGTGGGCTTATATCTAGCACTCTTGGAAATGTTGGCTTGCTCCTCATTTTTAATAGTAATGATAAAGATAAGAGTATATAAATGATTCATTGATGTGTGTGATGAGTTAGTTTACTTTGCTGAGGTGGTTGAAACTACTGAACTCTACAAAGTCCTCATTTAACATAGATGAATTATTTTGCATATCTTCCCATTCGATGGCAGCACGCATCAGTAATGCTATACATGGAGTCTTTGCCTTTGCTCACTTCAGTTGAGTATTTGTATGACAAATATTTCATAGGAGCAGATGAAAAGCAATTAGCAAAAAACTATTTGGAATAATGGGTTTATAAATAATAATAGTATCAATAGCTAAGTTTGGTGTCATCAGGCACAATAATCCTTGAGTTACTACTGGACAGCATAAACCCCCAAGCTTGCTATCAGCCTATATCCTCAAAAAAGGGAAGGAGAGCTTGATTTAAAGTTGGCGATGTATATGCTAGAAAAGGAAGAAGCTCTTCTGCTGTAGAGAGCGAAGCAAGTCTGTTCTTCTTGATGTCTCTTTTGCTATCACTCAAGTGTTTATATTGTTATAAATTATCTGCTCAACTAAGAGTAGTTTTACTAGTGGGTTGATTCTTTCTAGTCTCTACATCTCCCTTTTAGTATTCACTAAAAGATTTTTGAGGAACTAACAAGAAAAAAGGTTATTATTATTAAGTGAAAAATAAAATTAATCTTGCATTTCCCTTTAAGAATATTCGACTATTCTCATTTTTTCACCTTTAGCATGCAGGGCAAAGTACCCTGCTTATTACCACTAGATAAACATGAGCCTTCATCGCTCTAAGATGTTATTTTTTCCACACTGTTCATTGCAGAATGTTTCTCATGGCATGCACTGCTTTATTCCCTACTTTCAACCTCTAGATTTATTATTATTATTATTATTATATTATTATTATTATTATTATTATTTCACAGATGGTGAACCTGTGACGGCAGCAAACAGCAACTGTTCTGCAGAATCAGGTACAAAGGGATTGACTGTGGGTTTTGAAAGACTTAAAGCAAAAAGAGTAAAAGCCCTTGGCAAGCGGATTTCTCGGATGAAACAAAGTAAAGTGCTGATGATGATGAATTGGTTGCACAGAGCCATGACAGAGGAGTTTCAAGGGTTTCCTTATCTAATGAACACAGAGAGACTTGCCAAGTAACTGAGATAGAAAAACACAATGAGTACTCTGATTTATCTGCTGATTCTATTCAAGGGCTTGATAAACCTCATGAGTCTTTCCTCAAAAATGCTGAACCAGAGAGTTCATTTGCTAGGGGTTCTGCTGCTCATTTACGAGGTTGGCATGACAGGGGGACCATTCGTAAGCCCAAATTGAAGTCACCTGACCTTCTAAAGAAACATCTTACAATGCCTGTTAGGGGTGACTTTTTTAGTCAAAAAACCTTTAGAAATTTAGGTTGCAGTGAATACATGATTAAATCTTTAAAAGAACAGCTTTTCCTGCGCCCTTCATGTATTCAGGTATATTAATAATTTCCTATTACAACTGATCCAGTAAATAGTGTGCTGAGGTTGTTTTGTTGTGTCTGAAGAGTTAATCTACTTTTAGATGCGTCCTATTAACATTAATCAATGAAACTATTACTTGGTTTTGTCAAAAGCCATTTAGCATATAAAATAAAAATCTTGGATTACTGCAGGCCATGGCTTTTGGACCTGTTATTGAGGGACACAGCTGTATTATAGCTGATCAAAGTGGCTCAGGGAAGACATTGGCATACCTTACACCTGTGATTCAGCGCCTTAGGGAAGAAGAACTCCAAGGAGTTAGCAAGTCAACCTCTGGTAGCCCTCGTGCAGTTATAATTGTACCAACCGCTGAATTGGCGTCTCAGGTCAGTTAATGTTGTATCTACTCAATTGAATCCAGTCTATATTTTTTATTTCTCATGCTTTCTTTTATAGTAAAGGCATCTTTTAATTTGCAATGATGACAGATGAGTTTCTTCTATATCCCTTGAATCAATCATTGGCTCTAGGCATGATTTTCGTAAATGTGGTAATTGAAAATTACTTGTTGGGACATGCTTTGCTTTTTTCCAATGATCAATTTTTGTTAGATTTAGCTCATTCATGGTTTAATTCTTCTCTATGGAATTTAAAGACAAGTAGATGAATGTCCACAAATAGGAAAACAGTACAATTACACAGAACCGTTGAATTAGTTTTCACTATTGTTACTTCACTGGTAGATTGACGTTAAGTTGTTAAACCTAAGGTGTGCAAAATTGCTTATTTGAGATTTAAGAGAAATTCATTATGTAGAAAGCTCAGTGCACCTTGCTTAATTGAAAAGTGAATATTATTTGCAGCTATGCAAAGTTGTATATGCAATTTTGCTGGAACCCTCTACATGGCTGTATGGTGGTTGCTTATTGCAAGTAAAACTTTTGCAGGTCTTGAGTAGTTGTCGGTCATTGTCGAAATTTGGGGTCCCATTCCGATCTATGGTTGTGACGGGTGGTTTTCGGCAAAAGACTCAGCTGGAAAATCTAGAGCAAGGTGTTGATGTTTTAATAGCAACACCTGGTCGTTTCATGTTCCTAATTAAAGGAGGCTTCCTGCAATTAGCAAATCTTAGAAGGTAAGTTAAATAATGTTGGAAATTGCTTCATCAAACTATTTTATATTCAAGTGTGATGGGGTCTTGAAAATTTCTAGGGCATTTTAAATGGGATTTTTTAGTACTGGGTATCTCTCTTATTTCCGTTGTATGGTAGTCCCTCCACTCCTTATCCTTCCTTTGCCTTTCCTCAAGGTAAATAAAAAGGCCATTGCAACCTAACCATTTACACAGCTGCATAAAGTCTAGTTTAAGTTTTTCAGTCCTCTTTTGTCTTGTTTGTAGGAGATTACATTATGTTTCTTAGAGTGTTTAGCATTTATACCAGTATTATTCTGACTTCATCAGCTACCCTTGAGACTTAAAAGATTGTGCAATTTACTTAAGGTAAATAAAAAGGCCATTGCAACCTAACCATTTACACAGCTGCATAAAGTCTAGTTTAAGTTTTTCAGTCCTCTTTTGTCTTGTTTTTAGGAGATTACATTATGTTTCTTAGAGTGTTTAGCATTTATACCAGTATTATTCTGACTTCATCAGCTACCCTTGAGACTTGAAAGATTGTGCAATTTATGGTCCATATTGACATACATGATCTTTTTGGACCAAGTTGTTTTCTCTGTATGAAAAAATGTTGTTGCATGGACATCCATGAAATTTTTGGATCAAAATTTAAGTTCAACCTATAGAAAGTACTAAATTTTGACGAACTGCATTTCTAATTAAGGTTCTGTTTAATATATGAGCATATTTTTGCTGCAAAAACCTACATTTTAGTAAACTAATGATCTAAGTACAGCAACGAGGAATAGATCTTTTAAGTGACTTTTAGATTCTTGAAGCTCTGTCTTTTAGGATAATATTCGTTAATTTTCTACTTGAGTTTAATTAGGGTCTTGCATAGTTTACTAAAGAATTTCATGCCCTAACGTTGAGAGCTGGACAGCTATTTTCATGAGACTAGGTGCAATAAAACACCTTGAATTTTAATTATGTTCAAAGCTGATCTTTGAGTTAAATAAAACATCTGTTTAGGGCTTTAGTGTTATATTGCAGTAAAAGTATAGTGATTTAGGGTTAGAAATTACGTTAATGTATTATAGACCATGGATTGAGCATTTATGCTGTTTAATCCAAGAACTCATATTGATAAGATAGTGAGTAAGAAATAAACACAACAAATTTGGAGTATTAGCCATCTGATAATTGCAATTAACATGAACAAGTGCTAAATTTAAATTTGTTAAGTCAATTCAGCATCTGGATGATCACCAGAATACTTTTACTGATATGATTCCATTGCTTCCTAAAGATGCATTAGTGTTTAAAATGGGTACAACATCATAGACAAGTAAAAAGCTGCAAGTTTGTGATGTGTGTCAAATTGGATGCTGGATTTTATGAGTTGCCACTAACAATCAGCTTTGAACAATGTGGAATCAGATTAAGCAGATTGTTTTCAGAAGGATGCAAAAGGTGATGTGCTTTTTGAATCCAAATTTATGTGGTACTTTTATGATGAAAAATGCTTGGATGGCTATTAGAGACCAGTTTCCAAAGGTATCTTGATCAAATTTAGTCTGAGATTGCTACTTAGTTCCCTGGCATGGGTTCATATTTTGAATGGTGTTAAGAGAAAGATTGCAGACTAATGAACTGTTATACCATAAAGATATGATAGTTGATTTCAAATGGGCTGTTTGTGATTCTGCTATTGAAAATACTTGGCACTTAACTTTTGGGTGTGAATACTCTACAAAGTTTTGAAGTGACCTCAAGGAAATGTTAAGGAAACTCCGAAATATTACCTTGAGGAAGATTGCTACTTGAGCTGATAAAGCAAGCTACATAATTTAAAATGGGAAGGGAAAAGATGATGGCGTTCAAATGATTGCTTTTGAAGCCACCATCTATTGCATTTGGACGGAAATAAACAAGTGCCCTTATGGGAAAGTTGAGTTCAAGGTTGGGAAAGATTTTAAGGTTTCCCTCAACAAATTATTTGAAGTGTCCTTTTTACATATATGGTAAAGTTACTGCTTTCAATCTTGTGGATAACAATCATGACTTTGAGATGTCTTCTTTTAGGATCCCGCTTATCACATAACGTCCAAATTTATCACTTAGGTTGATGGATCAAATTGGCCACTTATCAATGAATGGGTGCAATTTTTACCATTGTATTTTCTAATTGGGTCAAAAAGTGATTGAACTATTAAAAAATTACTTTATTTCCTCATGGAATATTTTTTACCATTATTTTGACCATTTTTTAACCAAAAATAAAAGGTATAGTGGTAAAATTTGTACTTGGTCAAAGATGTGTGATAAATTTGATCCATTATTTTAAGTTGAGTGGTAAATTTATTCCAAAGAAAAAAACCTCCAGGCTTAAAAGCATTGTAATTTAGGTGCTATTTGATTCGACAATTTTACATTGAAAAATTAAGTATTTAATTTTAGTTTTGAAAAGTTTTTAAGTATTGAATTTATGATATAAAAATTGTTTGGTATTGCTATTGGAAATTAAATGTTAGATTTTTTATTAAATCTTTTATAAAAATATATACAATTTTATATGCATTTTTATTGGTAATAATTAAAAAGGAAAGAATAAATGGTTAAAATAAAGAATACATGCATTAAGTAGCTTTTCAACACTTTTTCATTGAAAATGTTCCATTAAATGATTTCTAAAAATGAATTTTCAAATGCACTAAAAATATTAAACCATTGAGAATTAGAATTTTCAATGGTTTATCAAACATACTCTAAGCTTCTTTGTTGTATAAATTCATTCATTTACCCAAATAAAACTGTTTTGAGGTTTTTCATGCATAGCATGATAATGCAAAGGGAAAGCAGTTGTATCATCATCATTATTTTTTTTTTCCAAAGAGGTGACACAAACTTAATTTTAACAAGTTTTGCCTAAAATAAACTCTAATCAGTTGCCTGTATTGCAGTGCTATCTTTGATGAGGTGGATATACTTTTTAATGATGAGGATTTCAAGGTTGCATTGCAGAGTTTGATAGACTCTTCACCTGTCATAACACAATATCTATTTGTAACTGCAACTTTGCCGTAGAAATATACAACAAGCTGATTGAAGTTTTTCCTGATACTAAAGTGATCATGGGACCTGGCATGCACCATATAAGCTCTGGTCTTGAGGAGGTTGGTTCTCTTTTCTTTTTTTGTTTGTTTTTACCCACTATGTCTTTGGTTATTCTTCTTCTTCTTTTTATTATTATTATTATTATTAGTATTATTATTACTAGTTGTTCCTTTGATGCCTTAGATATTGGAATTGAAACTTGAAAAAGTTTCAAATTGATGTATGTTATGAGCTCAGTCCATGGCTCTTACGTATTAATCTTCATTATTGAGCTACTTTTTATGCTAACTACAAAATAAGAACTACTGCAATAATGAAATTCTTTTTATTGATTAAGATTTCAAGAAGCCCTATCATGGTGAAAGAGATAATAGTAAGGAATTCTTATTTTCTTTTCAAACAATTTTAGCCCACACTAGAATCACCTACTATCTTAGGTCCATGGATGGAAATGCTGCTTAGCTCTACCTGCTAGAAGTAGGAACAATAATTGTTGAGGTACATGACTACTTGTGAAATTTGCCACTACTTTCTTATGTCCATGGATAGAAATGCTGCTTAGCTCTACCTGCTAGAAGTAGGAACAATAATTGTTGAGGTACATGACTACTTGTGAAATTTGCCACACTTATTAGGCTTTCTCAAAACCGGTATAAGTTTGAAAACCATAGGATTGTCATGATTTTAACGTGTAAAAAGCTATGACATGTTTACGAAATCCATTAACTATATGATGTTTATATATATATATATATATATATATATATATATATATATATATATGAGGAGGGATTCAATTAAATTAGTGTAAGTCTTACACTTTTTTTAACCTTTGGAGCAAAATAGTTAAGAGCTCTTGAACTCGCAACCTCCAAGTACCAACTCCAATGACATGCCAACTGATCCAAAGGATAATTGGCATTTATTTTTTGTTCTTGTCAAGTAATGCTTTCTCCAACTCCATTTTTTATTCTTTTATTCTTTTCCTTTTTCTTCTCCCTCCTTCCTCCCTCCCCTATTCTCGCCCCCACCCCACTGTCCATTGGTTTCTCCTCTCTCCCCTTGCAAATTTCTCTCTTCTCCACCGTTGTCTTTATCCCTGTAGCTTTCTCTCATCAATCGCTCCTTCTCATTTCCTCATTCCTCCTCTCTTTCCCTGTAGAGTCATCATTCCACTGCATGCCCCAACACCCTATTCTCACCTCTCTTCCCAAGAACTTTTTCTCTCACCTATTCTCTCCCTATCAGCCTCTTTCTCTACAATCCATGAAAAAAACTGAAAGGACAAAATTGCCCATGCAAGGCAATAAAAAGGCAAAAATACCCTACATAATTGAAAATGAGAATGGAGTATATTTTGTTGACAGCATGGGTATCAAATAAGGATTTATTTCCTGATTTGTAGGTGGTTACAGTACTCTATGTAACTTCAACATCCTTCATTATGGAAAGGGTGCAGCTTTTTTGCAATCTGTTTGTGGCATTTCTAGGTCCATGACAAGAGTAAGATCTTCAAAATTAAACATAGGGCTAATCTATAAAACTTGTGGCTTTAGAATCAAATATTGAGATGCCATGTGGATAAATGGTATTATCATCCTGTTTGAACAAAACTGGTGTTGTCAATGAATTTGGGTACTAGAAAAAGCTGGGATAATAATTAGGCAGATTCCTTTTTGTGTAGCCATTGGAATTAATGTGTATAGTAAATATTTATTACTCTTTAATGAATATTAAAAATCCAAGGCGCACATTCAGGTTCTCGTAGATTGCAGTGGAGAAGGGACTTTAAAAAGTCCAGATACAGCATTTCTTAACAAGAGGACTGCCCTTCTGAAGCTTATGGAAGAAAGTCCAGTTTCTAAAACCATTGTTTTCTGTAACAAGGTATGTATGAGATTTTTGCATGGTGGGATAACCTTCCTTCAATTTTCTTGATGAGATGATTTTTAGACTTGGTCCTATTTTGATATTTTTCTTCTCCATTATCAGATTGAAACATGCAGAAAAGTTGAGAATGTACTAAAACGTTTTGATAGAAAAGGAACTCATGTGCGAGTCCTACCATTTCATGCTGCTCTGGCACAAGAAACACGGCTTATAAACATGAAGGAATTCATCCATTCTGAGCCTGGTGGAGAATCCTTGATTTTGGTTTGCACTGATAGGTATTGTTTCCCATCGTCCACAGAAAATAAAAAAGATAGTTTTTCTTGTGTTATTTTTGTGTAACTCATTAGCTGTGCTTGTTTATGAAGATATAGTCGGTCGATCTGCTTCCTATTTCATTAAGAATATGTTTCTAAAATCGATGGCAGAGCATCACGTGGAATAGACTTTGCTGGTGTGGATCATGTTGTACTCTTTGACTTCCCTCGTGATCCAAGCGAATATGTGCGCCGTGTTGGACGAACTGCCAGAGGGCAGGGGGAAAGGGTAAGGCATTCATCTTTGTTGTTGGCAAGCAAGTTCCCCTTGCACGGAGGATCATTGAAAGAAACCAGAAGGGTCACCCATTACATGATGTGCCAGCTGCTTTTGAAATGATGAGTTAAAAAAAAAAGCTGAAGGAGAAATATTTCGCATGAAATAAGGGTATGATGTTAGGTCTGTGGGGCCGTACTAAATTTGCATGAACTTAGGGAGTCGTAAATTTATATTTTCTTTTAGCTTGGGAGGCATCCGTTTCTGCAATTATAAAAAGGTGAAGAGGCCTGTAATTGTAAAGAAGACAGTTTACAGTTTGTTTTATTTTATTATACATAGCTTGTAAAGCAGAATATATGGTTTAAACAATGAAAAAGAGGGTTTTGGTTTTAAATCCTCTTTTAGCCCAGGCTGATAGGACCTCTAAACCTTCGGTAATTGTTATCATTTAAAAAGAAAGGGTAAATTTCACTACGTCATTTAACTGCAATGCTGCCTGCTTTGTGTAAGGTCACCTCTTTTTTGTCATTTTTTAAAAAAAAATAGTATTTATATAAAATTTTTTAAATCAAACAATCTCTTAACAGTGATAAAAAATAATAAAGATAGTTATTGTAAAACTTTTGTTTTTCTATATATTTTCAATACAATAAAGAGATAAGATTAATTAAGAAAGGAAATGAACATGAATTCAAATATGTTTACAACTGTCATTATCAATGATAATTTCTTTTTTTTTTTTTATACTAATATTTTATTTATTTAAATTGTTCTAAAGTTGTTAAAATGAAAGTTAAGTCAGAACAAGTAATAAAGTTATTATATAGAACAACTCTGCTAAAGTTTGCAATAATACTTTTATGGAACAACACTTTCATGAAAAAGTATTAGTATTTTCTACCTAAAAAAAGTGAAAATAACCTAAGAATAAGATATAATTTTTTTGTTAATTTTTTTATTGGAATATTTTAGAGAATTTGTCTTGATGAATTAAATATGAAAATAATTAAAAATTTACCTCTTAACATTTATTTGAAGTATAAGTGTTTCTCTTTTTGCTTCAGAACATATAGTAGATTTAGATATGGCAATAAATCGAGGTAAAATGGATTTTCGCTTCCCTAGACTCCGACCCAACCCCTAAAAAAGTATACTCAATTCTAACCCAACCTTATATCGAGTTATTCTTTTTATATTCGATTCTGACTCAATATATATATAATTTGCATCCGATTTGAAATTAATTTAATAACTTTAATTTATTATTATATTCATAAAAATATTATTTTTTAAAAATAACTTATATCTTAGTTATATATATAAATATAATATTTTTATTAAATTAATATTTTAAATAAATATATAAAATAACAATTTATTAATATATATAAATAAAAAACTAAATAAATAATAAAATATTTTTACATCTTGGGGAGGGTCGGGTTCATCACCCTGTACTCCACCTCCAACCCAACGCCAACTTTTTAAAAAAATATTTGACCCATCTCCAACTCAACCCTAATTTCAAAAAAGAAAAATTGCTTCCACCAAATTTTGAGAGGATTAAAACCTATCGAGCACAGGTTGTTTGTCATCCCTAGGAGGATTCTTATGTTCACTATCACCAAAAGCTAAACTTTTATTAGACAAAGCATTAATACATTTTGTAATTATCAATTTTTATCATTATTTTTGTTGAATGTTTAAGATATGTAACTCATTAGTGAAGATTTTTGATAAATTGGCTCAATCTTTTATATAGTTCTCTCTTTCTAAATTCCTTTTTCAACCTTATTCTTTTTTGTTTTTACTTAGTCTTACTTCATCTTCTACCACTACATGCCGTTGCACTCGTTACTTTAAGGTTTGCTCTAATTTTTCTCTCTATCATCTTCTAAAATATCTTATTTTATTTGTTTGCAATGTTTCCTCTCCTTACCAAAGACCCTTTATATCATCTTTTGTCAAAATCATGAAAAAAAATTAAAATTTTATAACAAATTTAAGCATTATTGAGTACCAATTCATTTTTTATTTTTTGACTTTTAAAATATAAATTGGTTTATCAAAATATTTAGGCTTGGTATTTTATCATTATTTAAAATAAATATAAGAATGTATTGATTCAAATTAAAGAAAATTAATTGAGAAATTGCTTTTCATAAGACATTAGTTGAATCTAAGGAAAAATTTTGTTTACTCAAGAATATAGAATTAGTTGTTAAACTAATTGGTCCCAAACACTTAAAACATCATCATTTTGTTAGGTATTATATACTAAAAACATAAAATCCTAAACTGCTATTTTCTCATTTCTTTTCTTTTAATCGGCCACCTCTCTTCCTTTCTTTCTCTCTTTAAACCAACTCTGGTAGCCAATGTTTCTTGGTGATGACAAAACTATCTCTTTTCTTCCTTTTCAATCAATTTTTTCTTCTTTCTCTTTCTTACTTCACATCCATCTTTTTTTCTCCCTCTAACCCTTCAAACCTTTTATTATCTCTTCTCATTGTGTCACCACCGTTACTTTCATTTTTAATAGTTTCCTTTTCTATTTTCCACCTGATGGCCAAGCTAATAGGTCATTCTGACATTGGGGGTCGACAGACCATGTCAAGTCAAACCGGGCCATGTCGACTTAAAATTTGCCACCTCAATTTGGGTGTAAACGATCCAACCACCCTTTTTTTTTTGGATGATCCAGGTCATTTACTCCTTTCATTTTCTTATTTGCTTTCTCCATATTCTTCAGTCATTAACTTAAGCATTAAAACACAAATGTGGAAGACACCTTCAACCTTTGCTTCTAACTTGTCTTATGATTTCAAGTTTTTGTCCCAGTCCAGACTTTACACAAATAGGAATGTTTTGATATTATTTATTTTGCAACCTTTTTTATGTTTTTCCTTTTGATTTTCTCTCAATTGATTTTTTTTTTGGTGATTGAGAGAATGTTTTAAGATTATTTTTTCTTGCCAGCAAAATTTTTTTAAGTTTTGTTTTGTGATATGGATTTTTATATTTTTCCTAATTTATATTTTTTTCAAATTATTTTTATCTCAAATTCTATATTATTTTATTATTTTTCTCTCTCTAGTCGTCAAACAAATAAACAAAATCAATTAAAAAAGGTCATGTGTCAAACTCTAAAAAACCAAATGAAAAACTAAGAAATGGGATGGTAAGCATGTTATGGACAGCAAGCTTAAATTAAGTCATGCAATCTTAGGTTGGAAATCAGTTCTTTATACGTCTAAGTCAGCCTTTAATTACCTTTCACTGTTGTGTAACTTAAAGTGAAATAGGAACTCACATTAGAGATTGTTTGGAACTTAGAGTAAGCTTTGTGAATTCTTAAATGTATATAGCTAGAGCAATCTGATTTACAAATGAAAGGATGATCTTTATTTATAGTTAGGGCTTTTTTACATGTGTGGCCCTTGGTTAAGCAAAGTATGAGATTTATAAAAGGATTCTAAATCACATCAAGCCTAGACTTCTTATTTTAGAACTTTTTAGAGCACAGATGTCCAGAGATTTCTACAACAGTCCATATATTTACAAGATATAATGTTTCCTGTTGGTCCCAAGTAGTACTAGAGAGAGAGTAGTATTTTGTAAAATTATAATTGATATTAAAATTAAGTGCTAACTTAACCATAAAATAAAAGTCCTCAAGTAATGGAGTTTAGAGAAGTAGACAATGCACCACAATATATAGTTATCCAATTTTTCTTGACTTATGATCACTCCATTGATAATTCTTACTAAGTTTTTAAAGCAAACTTCACTTAACTAGTAATTAACAACTTCCACCAAGGAATTACAAAGGTGAGCTATCCCAAATTCAAAATCAAAGTATACAAACCCCAAGCTAGTGTTAAAAGAAAATTTCATAAAAAAAAAAAAAATTAAAAACAAAAAAATCCAAAAATTCATAAAAAATCTAAAAATTCAAAAAATTGAAGAAAAAAGAAAAATTAAAAGATCTAAGAAAATTAGAAAATGAGAAACTTCTAAATTTAAAAAATTCCAACAACTAAAAAAGAAAAATATGAGAAATAAAAAAATTTCATAAAAAATTTAAAAATTAAAAATTATTTTAAAAATTTTTTTTAAATTAAAAAAATGAAAAACTAAATCAAATTTTGAAAAAATAAAACTTTTGAAAAAAATTAAAAAAAAAACAAAAAATAAAACATTATTGTAAACACCCTTTTGTGTCCGGGCCCGTTTAGGCCCATTTGTATTCAAGCCCGTTTGGGGTTAGACCGAATTACATTTGAAGTACGAGCTCGATTAGGCCCCCTTGTGTCCGAGTTTGATTGGGCTGATTTCCTTTACATTTTTTATTTATATATTACTTTCCCTTTCTTTTTTATATATAGTATAATAATAATAATAATAATAATTATTATTATTATTATTTTATTTTATTTTCATTTTTTTCTTCTTTCTTTCTTTCTTTCTTTCTTTCCTTTTTTGTTCTAATTCAGAATCCTACTGGCTCAAACCTTCAATGCTAGATCGTATCAGCAAAAGATTACTAAAATTTTAGACCAGAAATCATGCTAGACAGAATGCAACCCCAGGGTTCAAGCCAATGATTGATTTTGTCCGATTCCTAAAATTACTCCTAAAAATTGCTTATAAATTGGATTGATTCTAACAAACAAGAACACAAAAAATAGAGAGAAAATTATTGAAACAAAGTCTATGAAATTTTGGGCAAAAAGGGTTCTAAAATTTGATCTTAGGATTTTAGGGTTTAATTTGTGGTTTTGGACATAATTGTGGGTTTCTGAAGGTGAATTTGACATTGTAGAAGGTCCGAGGAGGATTTAGAACTGACTAAGAGGTTTTCTAGATTTTTTTTGGATTTTTTAAAAACTTTTTTGGATTTTTCTGGGTTTGGTTGAATCTTTCAACGAAGTATAAATTTTTTGATAAAGTTTTCGACGATCGGCTGAATTTTCTAATCACATTCCAATCAACTTCTTAGAAGGCTTTCCAATTTTCGGTTGAATTTTCTGATAACTTTTCCAAAAATAGGTGAATTTTCCAGTCTTGGTTGAAGTTTTTGGTGGAACTTTTTAGAATGAAGGTAGAGGTTGTTGGCTAGAGAGAGAAAGGCTCCGAGATTTTTGAGGAAAAACATGGAAGGGTGCCTTTTATACTGCTCAAGAATAACACCATTTTGGGTAAGCTAGGATCCACGTGCAGACTATACAACTCGCGTGTTGATCCGTGCTTCGACCTGACCCAATCGCACGTTTTTTTTTTCTATTTTTTTATTTTTATTTTATTTTATTTTTAACCCATTTTGTTATTTTTTGGTTTTTTTTTAAAGCAAAAAAAAAAATTTCTGCCACTAGTATTCTTAA